TTTCACGAAGTTTCTGGAAATTCCCCTCCAATCTCCTCTCCCAATCCTCTCCAGTCCAATCAAGAACAGCCTGTGTTCTTCCTCTGTCCATGGGACACCTGAAAAAAAAAACCCACAATTTAAAGATTGGATTTTTATTGACTGCAGAGGAATAAATCAAACGATGGCAGAGAACCCAATTGCTTTTTTTTTTTTCCCTTTTCATATAATTCATCATCGATTTATCCATCACTTATTAAAAAAAACGAAAAAAAAAAAATCTATCTTTGGAACCAAGATTTTAAAGTTGAACATCCAAATCAGTACATTTTATATCATATAAATGAGAAATTACAAAACCAAACGAGTGATTTCATGAAGAAATTCGCCAAAAGATCGAAACTTGCACAATCAGACAGGACACAAGAAACGCAATCGTCAAACAAACCTTATAATAATCAACAAAGCATATCAAATGAAGTCGGAATTTTACAATCTTTTACCTCGCTTGCGCTCGCGCTCGCGATTCGCGTTGGACTCCTGGGCCGCGGCGTCGTCGGCGGAGGCGTAACCCGCCGCGCCACCTTTCTCAGCCGCAGACTTCGGCGGCTCCTTGCCGTTGTTCGGGCTGCCGTCTTTATTAGCAGGCTCGTACTCGGACAGGTTGTTCATGCTCACGCTCTTCCTCATTGGATCGACCTTGACTCGCACGCCGAACAGGATGATCTCGTAAACTCCGCCACCATCCACGGCGGCGGACGGCGCCTCGTTGCTCTGTGACATTTTCTTGTTTTTTTTTTTTTTAGCTTTCTTCAATGGAGAGTGAAAATGGATGAGAATTGAGAGGGCGTGGGTTTTATTTTATACGAGGAAAAGGCGATGTGAGGACATGACCGGAGGGCCGTACAAATTTAATTGCTGGCAATTTTAATTTTAATTTTTTTGGATAAAAAAAAAAAAAGGTTTTAATTGCTTGGGATAAATCGCCAAAGGATAAAGGGATAAGAGTTTGACAAAGGTGCTTTTACATCGGGAAGCCTCACTACAATATCCATAGTTCTACAAACTTTTGTTTGAGGTTGGATAAACTTTAGACATAGTTTTTAAATTCGATCATCGAGTCACCGCTTCAACCGTCAAGTTAAATCGAATAATTAATTTTAATATTTTTATTGGATTCTTAATTAGCGAGCTTGTACAAAATGAGCAGGTTTGTCGAGGTGGTGAAATAATAGACCGGCTTAATTATTACAAATTATGCATTTTTATTCACATATTATACATTACATTGGAAAGACCGGCTTAATTATTAGAGGCTCTATATCGAGTTCCCGACGACATTTTAAGTACTCAAATAAAGTCACATGAGATTCAAAAATCTAGAAAGAAGTGATTATCTCAACCAAATTTATTTGGTAGATCATGTCAAAACTAGTTGGAAAACATGTACCCATTATTTAGAGCACCAAACATATCTAGGTCTTCATGTCCTTATCACCATGACACATAGTAGAAGAAAACTTAGAACAAATTACTATAAATGTCTACTTCTCTCACCACTTTTCAAGCAAAATTAGGTTTCAATAACTAATTACGGAATAAAACTTGTAAAGAAGGTGAATTACCTTTTTTGTAGATAATTATGATTCAAAATAGTTAAAAAAAAAAGATATAGTTATGAGCTAAATTTTGAAAAATAAAGTGACTACTGATAATAAAACATACATGCCTTCTTGTATTATTCAAAACTTGTGCGTGTTTTCCTCTGATATTTCAAAAATTATGTCAAATCCCTTTCTATTAAATTAATTGTAGCATGATTTTCCCTCTCTGTCCAATTAGACGGCGCGTGAAGTACACGTACCAACAATTATTCACTTATTATTATTATTATTATTTTTTTCAAATTTAAAATTTAGTATTTAGTTTCTTGTTTTCTACGTACCCAATGTTGGGTAAAAATTAATGCATTTGGGCACTCACCTCTAAAACCGTTTCATCCTCAGTCGAGTTTTCCATGGATACACGCGACAGGACCCTGTGCCTAGAGGTGACCAACTGCGGGACGCGACCCTGCCCGGCCCGCCGGGTCAACGGGCCTCACTATTTTGGCTCGTGACCGGCCCGAACTAAGCTATGGGCCGGTTCTACTTAACCGTTGGTTCACCGACTCGGCGGGTCTCGGATGGTTCCGGGCTGGTACGACCCTTAAAAAAAAAATATTGCGGCCTAGCCCAGCCCGGCCCGACGGGTTAAAAATAAAAAGTTTATGAATCAGGACCGAACCGCGACCCTAAGGGTCTGGTTCAACGAATCGGCCCTTAGGAGGCCGGTTTAAGGCCGGGCCGGTTCGACCCGTGGACATATCTACCTGCGCCCTGAGATGCCTATAGCATTTATTACACCACTACCTTTTTTGTGTAAAAATTCGACCATCTCGGCCCACCAAAAAAGAAAACAACATACTCCCTCCATTTCAAAATAAATGTCGTTTTGACTTTTTTGATTCATCCGTTTTGCTATGTATGCAGACATTAATATGTCTAGATACATAGCAAAATGGATGCATCAAAAAAGTTAAAACGACATTTATTTTGAAATGGAGGTAGTATTAGGCAAGCCAAGCCTGGCATGTACAACTCTCATACATAGATTAAATCATACTTTCAGAGAATTCACTCTCCTTGTCGACCTCCCTAGCTTGTCGGCAAAATTGGTGTCTTTTATTTTTTCCAGCATACTTCCTTTTGTTTGTCTTGTGTTTAATGTTGATCCTTTCATTTTCGTGTTAATATCTCATCAGTTATGCGTTTAACATCTCATCAGTTACGCGCTTAACTATTCCAATAGCCTCTGATCTAACTGTCTCATAACACCATCTGTAACCGTTGGCGGTCGACCGTAAACACTTGTCATATAAATAGATAAAATCACACTTATAACAAAATGCTTGGTAGTCGAGTTAGTGATGGTAGCTCTTTAAAAAAAAAAACCAAAGACTATGGGTTCAACTCCTACCATTGTTATTTTATTTAAGTCAACATATTAATTATAAAAGTATAATAGTAAAATTAATGAAAAAGTAATAGTATAATGATTAAATCAATGAAAATGTAATAGTATAATGAATAAATGAAGGAATAAGTAAGAGTATAATGGTTAAATCATTAAAATAGCGATTGTGAACCCAATCTTCCTACAAATAATCATTTCATCAATTTGCACACTCCAAATAGAAAATTTAACATACTGCATGAACGGTCCTCGTGTTTTAAGTATTTAATAGTTTGCCCATTGTCTTTTCATGTGATATTTTTGGTGCCCATCCAAATTTTCCTACAGTAGATCCAATCGGGATAAGGGCATAGAAGTTTGGAGTGAAATGAAATAAAATAAACACGAGAGACATAAAATATTAGGACAAATGACAAATCAATGGGCCTTGTTAGACACTTGTGAGTTGTCCCACATTGTTAATACATGGAAAATAGACCCACCTTATAAGTCTAATGGGCTACTCCTCCTTCCACCAATTGGTTTTGGGATGAACCCCATTGGGCTTCATTTGGGTTTTTCCAGACACAAAGTGGACTCTGTCTCTAACCCAGACACAAAGTGGGCTTTGATACCATGTAAGAAACTGGGGGAAAAAACGGTGCGGGCCCACTAACATGAAGCCCACCAAAGTGGGGAAAACCCAAATGAGGCAGAAAGTGGGCTCTGATATCATGTCTCTAACCCACACACAAAGTTGGTCGGGCTCTGATATCATGTCTCTAACCCAGACACAAAGTGGGCTCTGATACCATGTAAGAAACTGGGGGAGGGGGGGAAACGGTGCGGGCCCACTAACATGAACCCCACCAAAGTGGGGAAAACCCAAATGAAGCCCAATGGGGTTCCATCCCAAAACCAATTGGTGGAAGAAGGTCTAGCCCATTAGACTTATAAGATGGGTCTATTTTCCATGTATTAACAATGTGGGACAACTCACAAGTGATATTCTAACACGCCTCTTACTTGTGAGTCTGATATTACTTGTGAGTCTGATATCATGTCTCTAACCCAGGCAGAAAGTGGGCTCTGATATCATGTCTCTAACCCAGACACAAAGTTGGTCGGGCTCTGATATCATGTCTCTAACCCAGACACAAAGTGGGCTCTGATACCATGAAAGAAACTGGGGGAAAAACGGTGCGGGCCCACTAACATGAAGCGCACCAAAGTGGGGAAAACCCAAATGAAGCCCAATGGGGTTCCATCCCAAAACCAATTGGTGAAAGGAGGAGTAGCCCATTGGGCTTCATATGGGCTTTTCCCTTATCATGGTGCGCTTCATGTTAATGGGACCGCACCCGTTTTCCCCCAGTTTCTTACAGGCCTAAGTATAAATATTTCGTTCAGCCCGTGAGGACCATACAATAAATTTATTTTATCTTTTATGCAATCTCAGTCTATATAACTATGTGGTATAAAAATTGAAGCCATTTCCAATACCTTTGATTTGATTTTTTTTTTTTTTAAAAAAAATGTGACCCAAACCCATTTGAGAGACAGTAGATAATTGATATATTCATTTGATTTGCTATAAAGTGTTTTGATAAATAACTAGTTATTTGATATATAAATTAATTATATAATTATATATTTCAAAAGGCTCAAATATTGATTTTTTTTTTTTTGGAATTAACTTTGGAATCAAATAAATAACTATTTTAAATTGCTGCTTATCAAACAATCTAGAGATGATAACAGGTCAAACCTCTAATTTATTCCCAAAAAATTAATATTAATCAGTCATGGACTTATTTGACTATTAGCTGGTTGCAAATTCGGTTTGTAAATTCAATGAAAGTATGTAACATGTGCATCGAGTATTCGAGTTACTTCTCCTCCTATAGGTTTAGGACCGTGGCTTGAACACGACAGTATCGGACTGTCGTACCCCCGACAAGTCATAGCCTAGGTCTTTAACCTCCTCCTTCATAATAAAAAAATGGAAGTATGTAACAATATAAGAAATTAATATAGTTGAGGATGATAATTGTGGGAGAGGACAAAACTTCTCATCAAAATTAATTTTCGCTACTCAAGAGTGCTTGGATGAGATGACTTGGATCTCTTCCAACTTAACCAGTGGTTTCGTGTTCGAGCCCTGGAAATGCAGCAGTGTTAAACCTCTTGAGGGAGAGTTTTGCCGCCCTTGTGGTCCTACCCGACTCGATTCCGGATTAGTCGGTTCCCTTGGAAGGTGCTTGTACCAAAAAAAAAAAAATAATTTTCGCTAAAAGAAAAGAAGAAAACATAATAAAAAAATAATAATTTGTAATTTCATGGAGAAGATATATACTAGTATGATCCATCAATGGTGCGGGGTACATTAAACAGAAAAGATAAAGAGATAAGGTGCGTACTATTATCAACAGCAATATAACATCCCACTCAAACTCCCTTATTTATTTATTTATTTTTTTTTTCTAAATATTATTCCTTTTCACTTATTTTCAATACTTTCATTTGAAAATTTTGATGAGTTATTTGACATGCATTTTTCTTCTCAATATTATTCCATTCAACTTATTTTCAATAGTTTCTTTTGAAAAACATTGATGAAGAGTTGACTGCAGTTTTGAGTATTCAAATTGCAATCTTCTTTTTTTTTTTTCCCTTAGTTTAATCATCAATCTGATTGTTATTTGCTTATTTTTAATTAGACATGTCAAAGATGTATTAAGTAACCAGAGTATTTGTTATGGAAAACATCAAGTTTTATTTTATTATTATTATTATTATTATTATTATTATTATTATTATTATTATTATTATTATTTTATTTATTTATTTATTTTTATTTCTATTTTTGGTACAAAGATTACATAAAGTGTTTATTGCCATAATCTACAAAACTAGCTCTGAGTTTCATCCTATAAAGTAGGTCTAACTTTAGTTAATCAGCACAATTTCGCATTGCAAAACTCGTGCCAAATGGAAATTAACTTGCATACTTTTAACATGGAAATTAATTTGCAAAACTCTATTTTTCATCACTGAAAAATCTAACGCTTCGGAATGTTGTTTTTGGTATTTTCTTTTTCTCGCTTGGTGTCTTCTTTTTTGCGTATTTTATTTATTTGTGATATTTTTAGTATGCTCTGTAGTCGCAGTTTACTGATCTTCCACGTCAGAAAAGTCATGCTTTATTGCAAGAGATTTCTTTTGTCATCCTTGTGTTGCTGAGATTGAGATTATTTGTTATCTATTTTACATCGATGTTTTAATTTACACCTTCCGCATTTGCGCATCTGAGCCCAACAAAGTATTGATATCATATTAACTAAAATAAATATAAAAGTCGATGATAAAGAAAAAAATACTTAAAGAAAAAAAAAAGTAAAATAATGTTTACTTTGTTTTTCTTAAATAGTAACATATTATCATATGGCGGTAAAACAATACTATTTCAAGTAAATACAAACCTAATATATATATAATATATGGTATATGTGTATTTATTATATTTTGAATATAACATTTAAATAGGAATGTATATATATATATATATCGAAACAATATATTTTGAAGGTTAATACGGATGGTAGCTTTATGCCGTCGACGGGTATGGCTAGTGCGGGTGGCGACCATCATGGCCAATGGGTGCATGGTTTCTTGATGAATATTGGGTTTTGCTCGATCGTCGGTGCGGAACTGTGGGGCTTATTCCAGGGCCTCGCATTGGCCTGGGATATCGGAGCCCGTAATATCCAAGTTAAAGTTGACAATAAGAGTATCCTAGAGATGTTACAGCTACAGCGTTATGATGGGCGGTATGGTGGTCTAGTGAAAGGAATCAAGGAGCTAATGGGTCGATCATGGGCGGTGGAGGTTAGTCATGGCTATCGTGAAGCAAATTTTGTTGCAGATTATTTGGCTTCTTTGGCATCAAAGGGTCCGGGTGGTCTTCACCGGTTGGCGAGCCCTCCGCCAGAGGCGAGTGTTTGGTTACATCACGACAGGGTCGATGTGTCCTATTCTCGGTCGATTCTTGTCTAGGCTCTACGTAGCCTCCTTTTCTTGCACCAAAAAAGAAGAAGAAGCTTTTCCTCATAAGATCTGACTTATTTTCTAGTCCATGCACTATTTTGTATTGCACGACCCTTTTGAGAAAGTGATCAAATCTATAAAATTCATTGATTAATAATGAAAAGAAATAAAAGCTATAAAATTCATTAATAAGATCCAAGTGATTTTTCTTGAATTTGACACGAAGGTTCATAATTATGTATATTTGCTTAAGTGGTAAAATATCAAATAAAGTATGACGAGTTTGGTGAAGTTGACATTTCAATTAAATAAAATCTTTCTTGAGCTCGATAACCACGATATATAGGTGCTTCTTTTTTTCTAATAAAGTTGAAATGGAAAAAAAAAAATGAAATGAAAATAACAGTCAACATCATCTATTCCAATTTTATATATTTATTTATTTTTATCAGAGAAAACAAAGTAGCAGATTGAAGCCTTTATAAAATACACAGAGATGTGTCACAAGGTGCAAAAATTCAAAAAAAGAAAATATTAGAAGCAATATTATTTGGGGGTGCAATCTATTGGAATAATTGTACTTAAGTGGGAGATCAAGAGAAAATGACTTTTTAAATATATTAATTAATATTTCATTATTTAAATGCTAAGAGAATCAAATTCACTTAATAATTATTTCAAAATTGGTAGATATTCGATCCTATTACATATTCACACAATGTGTACTGATCAAACGGTGAAAAAAATGCGATATGTATGCTAATGCACTCCTCAAATCTCAACGAATATTAAGAGTAATTTGAGAATTGAATCTAGAAAACTTAATCTATGCACTTTGGAGTGCCTAACAGCATGGTAGAACAAAAAAAAAGTCAACTTTTAAGCCATTTGTTATAGAATATTTTTTGACCTTTTTTTTTAATTAATTAAATTAATCCAAAAACTGATGAATATTTCCCAAAAAAAAAAAAAACAAATAAATACAATAATAATAGTTACTGTCGAAAGCAACTCTCTCAATTTTAATCAAGAAAACTTCGGCTGTCAAAATCACATGGTTTGTGAGGTATCAGTATCACACTATCTTAATCAGGATAATAATTTTCATAAACTTTTTTATCATTTAAAGTAAACACCAGCAATTATCCCACACAGACAGCAGCAAGGTTTAAACATCACAATATGCACACAGACAGAAAAACTCACAGCATTCATTAAGGTCTTTCCCAAAAAAAAAAAAAAAAATGTGAACACTTTTCATTTCCATTATGCCGAATCATCCGCTTTTCCAGATTCTCGTACATTATATGCTTATCCAAGTGGCAACAAATTTCCACATTGTCATTAAGGTTTTCTGCCACTAAAACCAGACAACACAAAGTGGGGGATTCAGATATAGCAACAGTATCCCACATTGTGAAGCTCAAAACTCAACAGCACAAAAAATCGAGACGCGAATGTTTTAGGCAACGTTGCACTCTTTGGCAAGCCGAAGAAGTTCTTATCTTTTGAAAGGACATGAATGAACTCAATATCCACCAACGGGCCCCACTTCAAGGTATAATTTGCACTTTGGTCCTAGGATTTTTCTTGGCTCGATTGAGGATGAAGCTATATCTACGAAAAAATTTCATACCCCACTGGCCATAAGTTCGCTAACAGACCTAAAACTTAGTTTGTTGGTTTTTTCTTGCTTTAGGCCACTCGTGGATGTTCTTGTTTTTAATACAGGAAAGGGGGTATTGTGCAAACTAACTATGTCTTCCTCGATTTCTGAGCCTTCTGAAGATTGTTCGGTTTTGGAAAAGATACGCTTAAGCTGAGGCTTTTGACAAATTATTCTCCCCTTATTCCAACCGGGGAGACAGAAGGCTGATGATACGTCTTTTAGGAAGGAGTACGCAGCTTTTGTGATTGGGAAGTCTCGAGTTATTGAGCTCTTTTCCATATGCCCTCTTCTGTATAAACAAGGAAGTGAACTTCATGAATATTTATTTCATTGAGGAACAATATAACCTAATTCTTTTTTTCCTATAATTTAAAATTGCACTTCTAATTCGGGAATATTCTTGTATTGCTCGGATCAAAGCACAGACAGCAGCAAGGTTTAACAAATTAACATAGAAACAGTTACGTGGTTGATAAAAAAATGATAAAAACATTCGTATGTGTTGATTCTATACGAGAGAATTCTGCCAGCTCAAATCATTTCTCCTAATAATACAATGTTAAAAAATAAAATTAAAAAATATGCAACTCAGGCAAATAAGTTAACAATCTCACTCACACAACAATAGCAGTCGCTAGTTGAGGAAGTTCCTCCCCTTTATTGAACAGCTTTTGCATAGTGTTCAGCCAGACTGATATTGCAGTACATGCACCACCAGGCCACATCCTTCCAAAAAAAAAAAAAAAATACCAAAAGTAAGATACAATAAGCACCTCATAAATATCTTACAGCACACGCATCACAAGAGGAAAATAAAAGGATAAAAGCAGTAATACCTGTGCACGTCTACAGACCATATACGTTTGTTTTTACGAAATAATTCTGGATATAATCCCCTTTTTGTTGCTTCATGAAGCACCCTTGCAGCCCTTTCCTTCTGGCCTAAACACCAAAGTGCTTCGAGAATAGTGTTATAGAACCTAATTCGTAAGTCACATCCCTCAGAATTGAGCTTGTCAAATACGTACTCCACCATTTGCCAATTACTGTCGTCATCATAATCTCCCTTAATCATATGTCCTATAATCTGGTGAGCATCTGACGCCTTATTTGTCTGCATTTCATTTAGCAATTCACTGGCCTTGTCTAACCTGGACATAAATATGACGTTTTAAGCTCTTAAAATAGAGAAGAAAAATTAATAATCTATCATCTTTCTAGACAGAATGATCAGATGCATGAATGGAGGCTAACTATTTTAACAATCCAACCGAGGAAGTTCTGCTAAGTGTACACAGTAATGAGCCAAAATAACAAATAAACTTAATCCAGCCAATTAAAGTTCAGTTTTCCAACACGGATAGCACGAATTACAAGCACGCAAAAAAATACCATTTTACAGTGTTCATTTAATTATTTCAAAAGTATCCCTTTCGCTAGAATGTTTCGGGAAGAGAATAAACCCATATGCGAAATCATACAAATAACAGATACCCAGGCAGGACAGTCTCCAGAAAATTGGAGGCCCTCGACAAGTTTTTCAATATTGGTCCACATTGATATAGATGCTCGCAATTTTTAATGTGAATAAAATGATATCTCAAACACTAATAAAGTATACACGCACTGAAATCACTGTTCTCGGAAGAGACTTTGAGAGAGACTCTTGTTTTCCTTGTGTTCCTCTCTTTCAAACTTATCAATGTAAGTTTTCTTATACTCGTCATAATTCATGCCGCTAGTTGTATATAAAAATATGTTATCAAATTTGATTAAAATGACAAGGAATTGGAAACAAGGTCTTGTGCTCCGTTAGTTGTCACTTGGAAGTTTTCTCTCTTCATTTTCCATTCTGTTATTTGAATTGGTGATCTTATCAATCTGTAACTAACAGGAATAGCAGTATAGGTCATGGGAAGATGGTTGTTTTGTCCTTCCATATTTTTTCCCTTCACCTAGACCATACTTGCTCAAGAAGTCATAGTATTTCTAGTTACGGTAAAAATAGAAGAGGACATATAAATGCTTTCATCTGAATCATTAAGAGAATGTCTAATGTATAGGTAAATAAGAAAGATAAATGCAATACAGTAACACAATTGAAGTCTGACCTGTCGGAATTTGCATATACTGCCAGCATCATACAGTAACACATAACACTAGGATTGCCAACCAACTCCTTAATCTCCCCAAACTGTAATTCACTCTCATCAACAAGGCCGGCAAAGCAATACACGCTCAAAACCGACTCAAGAGTGTATTCATCCGGATGAGCGTTTATCTTCTCCAGGTCAACATAAGCCTTTATGGCTGCCTCAAATTGGCCTCCCTGCCTATACGCCTCAATCATACCATTCAATGTATCCCTATTTTTAGGAACACCCAACTGGTCCATTCTTGACAAAATAGCCTCAGCTTCCTTGTAAAGCCCACCTTTCGCATACGCATTAATCAGAGTATTATAGGTCTCGATAGTTGGCACACTCCCAATCTCGTTCATTGTGTTAAGCGCAACAAGAACCTCCTCGTATAAGCCCCCCTGACCATAGGCCTCAATCAGCCCCGTATATGCTTTGGAACTGGCAATGAATCCATTTTCATTCATATGAAGCAAAATCCGCTTTGCATCCTCATGAAGCCCCCCTTTCCCACAGGCACGAATCAACCCCTCGTATGTCTCCATATTCGGCTCCACATTTTCCTCCACCATATCATGGAACAATGTGACAACCTCCTTAAAATACCCTCCCTCGCCAAAAACATCGATCAGTATGTTATACGTATTAGCATCCGGCTCAGTATTACTCACCTTCATCTCGAGAAAAAGATCTCTCACGTCTTCATACCTACCATTTTTCCCGAACATATTTAACAAGATACTAAACGTCCCGGCATTCGGCGTGGACCCCACAGCCTGCATCTGCCTGAAAACACCCATAGCCTCCTTTATCTTCCCCGAGTTGGCATACGCCTCCAACAACACGTTATAACTCATTATCTCCGGCAAATTCCCATCAGCCTCCATCTCAGCAAGAAGCTCCGAAACTTTCTCCAGTTTCCCCAACTTCCCAAATGTTTGGACTAAATAACTGTACGTATTAATGTCCGGCAAAACCCCACTCTCGTTCATCGTCCTAAAAACCATCTCGGCCTCTTCCCCCAACCCTCTGCTAGCGCACGCACCTAAAAGCAAATTGTAAGTAACTAAATCGGGATGAATGCACTCATGCCTCATTTCACCAAACAAACTCAACAGCCCCTCCCACGAGTACCCGCCTCGGGCACAAGCATTTATAACGGTATTGTAAGTCAAAATATTCGGCAAAACTCTCTCCTTCTTCATTCTCTCGAGCAGTTCCAACGCAACCTCGTACTGCCCATTCCTACCGTAGGTGTTAATAATCGCAGTGTAAGAAAGCACGGTTCTTGGGACAGAATCCATTTCCATCTCTTCGAAAATCTCCGCTGATTTATCCAGAAGCCCCTCCCGGCCGAGGATCCCGATTACGAGAGAATAAATGTGCTCATTGGGCTTGCACCATATATGGCGCTGCATATGCTTGAACAGGCGAAGGGACCTCTGCCAGTCGCCGCGCTGGGCAAACTCCCGGAACACGTTGGTGAAGTCGGAGAGCGAGAGCTTGTTCCGGAAAGGTTCGAGGCACCGAGAGATGCTGCCGCGTGGCGGGAGGCCGGAGAGATTGTTGATTAGGGTTTCGACTTCGTAGCTGTACTTGCCTTTCTCGACGGTGACGCTAGGGTTGCCGTAGACAATTTGTTTCCTCGATCTGGCTGTTATGGAGAGGCTGCGGCGGGGAACCGGTAGGTGGGTCAGGCGGCGGTGGCGGTGGAAATTGGGCGGGAAGAGGAGGTTGGCGCCGGCTGTGGATGGCGGCGTGAGGATTGGGGAGAAAGAGTGGTGGTAGGGCAGGGCCAATTTCATCATTTTAGTTACATATGAGAGCTTGGGAGGAGATTGGAAATGGAGATTTTAGGGGTTTAAGCTTCTGAGAGAGGGAAGGAGGAAGAAGATGCCACGTGGGGTCTTCAGACTTGAGGATAAAGGACGAATTTTTTTATATATAATATATACTAGTTTGTTCCCGGCTGTGCACAGCACAGCCGAGCCCAATTTGGAGGTAAATTTTATTTTTAATTAAGAAATATTTGTGTACTATATAATTTGTAGTTGTTTGCATTTAATTGGATGAATAAGAAGCTAATGTTACATGAATGCGTTAGAACAACTACAATCATGCGTGGTAAAAAAAAAAAAATTATTTTTTTTTCGTTTGCCATGCAGTTAGGTTGGGTGTTTTGTTGTATGATAAAATTAGGAATTTTTTATTTTTTCATCTACATCTTGTATGAAGAATTTATTTGATAACCTCTACTTAGATTTTGTTATGTTTTCTATGCGTTTTTTTATGTTATGAAAAACTTTAATAATTAATTTTTAACTTCCTTGTCTCCAATATTATTTTGGTATTTGGCAATCCCAATTTATAAATACTATATTTGTAAATGTAAATCCATCTTCTTGAAAAACTTTATATATTTATTGCATTTAGTCAAATGCACCAACCCATCCACATTCAATATTTTATTTTTCTTTAACAACGCGTAGCCACAAATGTATTTATAGGAAACTGAAACAGTATAGATCTTTTTTCCAGAAAGATGAATAGAAGAAATGGACCAAGGATGCAGACCAATAACAGCAACTTCAAGCTGCAAAGAACATTTTTCTACAAAGACGTGGTAAAAAAGTTAATTATCGTACTTCCATTGTTGGGTGGTTCCTCCCCGTGTATATATTTTACAAAACCTCTGAATCTTGTAGGAAGCAATAATAATTAATATGGGCTACTTGTTAACTGTGTTGTAATTGATGAGTTTAGCATTAGATTAGTGTGTAGATATGCAAATATGTGGATTTTTACCTTTTTTTATATATTTGAATTGAATATATGGCTCTTATATTTGAATATATGGCTTTCTAAACATTCAGTGCTTTTTTTAAAAACCTGATTCCAGGTGAATGAATGGGCAAAAAGCAGAGTACATGTCGCCGGGAAAAGTGTAACTACAAGCAACAAGAATAATTCTCATCCAAGAATCGCTCTATTCAAAGTATACATGATTTGGGACCAAAATACAGAAAATTTACAGTTTCAACAAAAAACACAAACAAGAATGGCCGATAAACTCATTCAGACCCTTCTTTTTACTGATAAATGGGAACAACATGCCGATAAAAAAAATTCAGAAGGTTGTAGCTAAATATAATTCACTTATGTAACACTGTTTTTATAGAAGCCCCAATTTAAGTGACCTAGTGCAGCAAATCGGAGCAATAAATCAGCACAATAATTAGATATTGCTTCTTAAATTGGAAAATATCTATCAATGTGAAATAATCTCTAGCCACCGCTTGGGGAAACTCATCTTCAGACAATCAGAAATTAGTACCACAAACAACCGAAAAGACTTGGGCAAAGAGGAGAAGGTCGTGGAGTAAGTTCGACAGCTTTATATTTCTGACCAGCCATACAAAAAGGTGAAAGAAATGATGCTCATCTCCGGTTAGAGATCGACCGTGAATCTTTAAACCGACACCCACCATGGTAACTGAATGCTTTGTCGTTTTGCAAAAGCCCTCTCAACCCACCAAGGTCAGCCATGACCGCAGAACAGTGTAATAAACAAATGATCAAAAGTCCTGCATGAGAAACGTTGTCAGAAACAAACGGTGAAAGTCATGATAATTTGAACCATATAAGGTGCCAAATAGCCAAATCATGGGCTCAAAAGTCTTTAAATATAAACACAGGCTTGCTCAAAGTATTCCACAATGATTTATACCATCTAACAATTCTGAAAGTAATTAATATCATTACATAAAGGTAAATAAAAAATTGTGTAGTTGCGAATAGGTACAAAAGAACTAACTCATGCATTAAGGCTTGCACCAAAAGAACTAACTCATGGTTTCTTATAAGAGAGGTAAAATGTTCATCTGTTTTGCATTTTGTGTCTTCTGTAATGCTTCTTTCTCCTATATTCCCCGTTGTTTCAAATAATTTTGAACCGATGCATATTTTTCTTTGTCCCTTTCGTGCAAATAAAATTCAAGCACACAAATTTTCAGGATAATATGTGCAACATAGTGCTTCTTATCATGTTCCAAAAAGCCTTTTCAAAGTGTGGCACTATGAAAATCACAAAACAAAAGCTACTGGCAAAAGTGTTCAAAATAACAACTTTAATTCTCACAAAGATAACAAAAAGGTTCCAACAAAGAATTTAATACATCAGAAGTTGTAAGAACTCACATTTTTGTTATAATCTACTACAGTAGGTGTAAAATCCATACCTCAACAGGTAGCCACATATGACTGACAAACAAGTGGATTATTCAAAATTTATATAAAAATAGCAAGGATCCACACTCGAATCAATCACAGAAATGTTCCTGCTGAAGCAGGCATGGTACCTGCAACACAAAAGAGGAAAAATGAACAATTATGAAGAAAAATCCCTCGTCTGGTATTTTCAAATGAAGTTTTCGATTAGTTAAATGCATAATAGAATGGAACACTTACTGTTATTAACTTCATCTTTTACTTCGTCGCCCGTTTTCCAAACTATATCTTTGAGCCCGGTTGATAGGTTCTTATAGAACTGCATACGAAGGAACCCAAGCATAGAACATTACACAATAAAAAAATATTACGAAATAAAATACATATAAGTGAAATGGTAGCGTAAATCTTCTCTAAATATTGTGATAACCGAAAAGGTTGCTGAAAATGTAATATTAATGTGAAGAATCTGATAAAATTATCCAGACATTCATAACGTGTTTTTCCCGTTAATAATAAAGCTCAACGCTATTTATCACCTTGTGAATATCTAATGTGTCTCCATCGGCCTTGCGAAGCTCTACCATGTGTAAAAAAGAAGCCACTTCAATTATATGTAAGTGCATTTTTTAGCCAAAAGACCAATTTAATACACACACAAACATTATGTAATCATAAGCAAGTGATGATTTGAGAGAAATGAAATGCTCATATTTACCTCTGTTGTGATTGACAAATGACCTTTGCGCCCAAATTTTTCCCCATGGAGTTTCATCTGAGAAGAAATGGTAATCCTAAGTTCAACATGAATTAATTTAAAAA